GCCTCTGCTACCTCAGCCAGGACAACTTGAAGCTCCTACTAAGAAGCTTCATTTAGCTCTCTTGTGCAAAGCCCTGATTCTCTCTGGTGGGGATAAGTGCCTGGTGGATCCAAGGTAAAAAGTCAGACTTGTAAAATGGTTGACTCCTTAAAATGACATCTGACTTACAGATGAAGAATATTACTTTTATTGTTTTTTATTTTTTTAAAGATATAATTCTTTCTTTCCTAGGACATGACTGATAACAGCAACCATCACATAGTGGTGAGGGCCAAGTTTAATTTTCAGCAAACAAATGAAGATGAGCTGTCCTTTTCCAAAGGTGATATAATCCACGTCACGCGACTGGAAGAGGGTGGATGGTGGGAAGGCTCACACAGCGGCAAAACAGGATGGTTCCCTAGCAATTACGTTAAAGAAATAAAGTCATCTGGTAAGTCATGCTTTTATTGATAGTACTATTAATTGTGACTGGGTTGGAACATTTAATTTTTAATTTGTTTTGTTAAATCTGTTTCCGAGGTTAAGGATGTTGTAAAGTAAAGTGGCAAACAGCATAGGTTCTAAAGTGAGGTTTTGTTGTTTTCTGTTCAAGCTCTATAGTCCCTTTGTCAGTCATAAATGTAGCAATTGTATGGCAGAATTAAATAGGAACACTACATCATTTTTAGACACAAAGTGGTAATTTTTTTGTAAAGGGAGAATTGTGGAAATGTGAAGATTTGAATTAAAACTAAAAGGTGTCTGTATAACTAAGGATACAAAAACAAATGTATATCACATGATTTTTTTTTTTTTTTTTTTGTCCTTTAAAACTATTGAAAAAGAAACCAATTACAGTACACAGCAGGTATGAAGTCACATAGAGAGCTTTACATACGTTAACAGCTTGACCATAGCACATAGTCATCCCCATATATGAGAAGCTAGACATGAGTTCCTATGAATAAATAAAGTTAACGCATTCTGTCTGTATTGACAATAAAACACTGTGTGTGCCAGATATTATAATTAAATTTAAAAAGGAATTAAGTACATTAAAAGAAAAAAGTACATAAAATACAACCGATGGCTACCTGGGAAAATCAGTCCTTAAGCAAAATAAGACATGTATTGTATTGTAATATGCAATAGAAAATTCTGCAACGTGTCACGTGGCATGGCCATTATAATCGAATGTCAATTCAATAAATGGTGCATGACATTTTGCACATAATTGGCATTAGCCATCCAGGAACTCTAGTTCTGGGCTGGCTAGTGACACTGCAATGACACATTGCCATTGGTGGAGATATACTTCCGGTAGCTGAGGGGTTAAATTCTGTATGTGCAGCATTTCATGGGTAAAGTGGTCTTGGTGCTTGGGGTAACCATTTAAATATATTTTATGAGCGTTTAAAGAATATAGACAAAAACTTATATGGCAAGCAAGAATGGAAAGGGGTATCCTGGTGAATTAAAGAAACAGATATAAGCAAATACAAGACTGGGACACATGGATAACATAACAGAATTGGATAAGAATAAAGAGAGAGCACATGCTTGGTTTCAGGGAAGGGAAGTATTAGATTAAATGAAGGGAGAAGAAAGAAAATGAATAGAACCCCAAAACGGGCAGATAAAGAGAATAACAAAATATTGAGACTATATAGACAAAAACTTACTTGAGTATGGTTTATTTGATGGGATGTTATGAGAAATATTGTTTGTTTTGTTTTCCACTCATCAAATTGGCATAATGGACTTGTAAGTTTGTTCCTTGTAACTAAGTACTAAAATTGTTAGTCCACTTTAAATAGGCTCTTTTGTTGTTAATTTTTCTTTTAAAAAATTGTGTCCCCTTTGCTGCCAGAGATGTTACTCCACCCCCAACAGTCTTGTTAGGGAGTTATTAGTATTGTTAATTCTGTACATATTTCTGTGCACAGAGGGGCATTCAACGAACGAGCAGCAAGCATCCTGCTTCTGCAGCACTATAGAAGCTGCATGTCGTAAGTTTCCTGCAGTGGAGACCTTACGCCCAACAAGGACTCAGGTTGTCAAATGGTTTGCCCCATTACCGAGCAACGACTCCAGGGTACCCTTACCATCATGATGTCTACAGCAGGCTGCAGTGATTTATGATGGTTGGAGAAAACTTTTAACTGCTACATTTAAACGATGACTGTATGTACTTGGAAGTTCCACATTTGAGTTTAAAAAAATTAAAAAAAAAAAAAATCTGTTTTTAAATTATGTAGATTATTTTTCTGTGTATAAGGAAGAAATCCTTCCCACTTAAACTAAAATTCAAAAGGAGTGTGAGTGTTAAGAGCAATACAGCCATCTGTTATTGTTGATGTTTAGGATTACGTTCTCTATAAGTTCTTGATGACTGATTAAGACCTTTAGCGCTTAGAATTGCAAGGGTATAAATGTCTGAATGGCCAGCACAATACAATGTTTTATTTTAATTTTAACTTCAGTTAAGTGGATTGAAACAATATCCTTATGCTTGTTGCTGTGACAGAAAATTCTAAAAATAAAGTGAGAGTAATTTTGTGTACTAATTATAGAGAACTTTGTGTGTCAGCCATTTACTGTAACTGAAGCTCCAATTCCCCAGAATCCAGCTGAGTCTCTTTAAAGCGGCACTGTCATGGCCGCCTCTATTTTTTTTTTTTTTTTACCCCCCTCTTGACTCCACTAAATCTAATTCACCCCAATATGCCCCCAGGCTCCTCATTTACCTTTTTTTTCCATCTTTATTTTCTGCCTGGACCTAGGTCCTAGGCACCGCCATCTTTGTGTGGGTAGATGAAGGCCCTGTGGGACAAGTTGTCTGCCCACACTAGATAGCGCTCAGAATTTCCCACGCATGCCCAGTTAAACACTTGGGTATTCGCTATTGTCCGAAAATCGGACGGGAATTTCGTCAATTAATTCGTCAGAAAGACGAATGAATGTATAGAAATGTCAGACGAACAAACAAATACTGAATATTGGTGTTCGTTTGTTCATTCGTTAAGTTTATTACAAGGAGGGAGCTACCGGCGCACAGCTTCCTCCTTGTAATATGTAAAGATCGAAGCGGTGGGGAGCTGTGCTCCCCGCCACTTCCTAAGCCCCCCATGTCCTCCCTCACTATTGACCCCCATATTAGCATAAGGGAGATTAAAATCTCTCGAATGCCCCTGCTCGCTGTGCTGCGAGTAGGGGTATGTCTACTAAACAGTGAGTAGGCATGTCGACAAAAAAGCCCCTCCAACCAATCAGAGTGCTCTGAGTCATTCTACACAGCATGGGAAAATTTCCAAAGAACTTTAACACGCTGCGTAAAATTACTCAGAACATTCTGATCGGTTGGATTCCAAGCCAACCAATCAGAGTGCTGTGACAGGTAATTGTAGACTTACCTATCAGTCTCTTCATTTACCTGTCGGAGCACTCTCATTGGTTGGCTTAAACCAACCAATCAGCCAAATGAGCCAAATTGCAGGGTGTGGGAAGGCTTTATAAGCCTTTCCCCGCCCTGTAGAGCTCAGTCTGCATGGTGCCCTCGCTGGGTTAAGATATAATTTTTTTTTTTTTTTTTGCGTTGGATTTTTTACATTTTTTTTAAATTTTTGTTTAGGAACAGTTTGACCACTTACCAGGGGTCTGCCGAGATAGGGGCTGTAGTGTGTGAGGGGTGCTATATATGTGTGCGTGTGTGAGGGGTGCTATATATGTGTGCATGTGTGAGGGGTGCTATATATGTGTGCGTGTGTGAGGGGTGCCAAATATGTGTGCGTGTGTGAGGGGTGCCATGTATGTGTGCGCACACATATGTGGCACCCCTCACACACGCACACATATATAGCACCCCTATATTATGTGTGTGAGGGGTGATATATATATATATATCACCCCTCACACACATAATATAGGGGTGCTATATATGTGTGCGTGTGTGAGGGGTGCCACATATGTGTGCGCACACATACATGGCACCCCTCACACACGCACACATATTTGGCACCCCTCACACACGCACACATATATAGCACCCCTCACACATGCACACATACATGGCACCCCTCACACACGCACACATACATGGCACCCCTCACACACGCACACATACATGGCACCCCTCACACACATACATGGCACCCCTCACACACATACATGGCACCCCTCACACACATACATGGCACCCCTCACACAAAGGGGTTATGAGAAATATTGTTTGTTTTGTTTTCCACTCATCAAATTGGCATAATGGACTTGTAAGTTTGTTCCTTGTAACTAAGTACTAAAATTGTTAGTCCACTTTAAATAGGCTCTTTTGTTGTTAATTTTTCTTTTAAAAAATTGTGTCCCCTTTGCTGCCAGAGATGTTACTCCACCCCCAACAGTCTTGTTAGGGAGTTATTAGTATTGTTAATTCTGTACATATTTCTGTGCACAGAGGGGCATTCAACGAACGAGCAGCAAGCCTCCTGCTTCTGCAGCACTATAGAAGCTGCATGTCGTAAGTTTCCTGCAGTGGAGACCTTACGCCCAACAAGGACTCAGGTTGTCAAATGGTTTGCCCCATTACCGAGCAACGACTCCAGGGTACCCTTACCATCATGATGTCTACAGCAGGCTGCAGTGATTTATGATGGTTGGAGAAAACTTTTAACTGCTACATTTAAACGATGACTGTACCAACCAATCAGCCAAATGAGCCAAATTGCAGGGTGTGGGAAGGCTTTATAAGCCTTTCCCCGCCCTGTAGAGCTCAGTCTGCATGGTGCCCTCGCTGGGTTAAGATATAATTTTTTTTTTTTTTTTTGCGTTGGATTTTTTACATTTTTTTTAAATTTTTGTTTAGGAACAGTTTGACCACTTACCAGGGGTCTGCCGAGATAGGGGCTGTAGTGTGTGAGGGGTGCTATATATGTGTGCGTGTGTGAGGGGTGCTATATATGTGTGCATGTGTGAGGGGTGCCAAATATGTGTGCGTGTGTGAGGGGTGCCATGTATGTGTGCGCACACATATGTGGCACCCCTCACACACGCACACATATATAGCACCCCTATATTATGTGTGTGAGGGGTGATATATATATATATATATATCACCCCTCACACACATAATATAGGGGTGCTATATATGTGTGCGTGTGTGAGAGGTGCCACATATGTGTGCGCACACATACATGGCACCCCTCACACACGCACACATACATGGCACCCCTCACACACGCACACATACATGGCACCCTCACACACACACACATACATGGCACCCTCACACGCACACATACATGGCACCCCTCACACACATACATGGCACCCCTCACACACATACATGGCACCCCTCACACACGCACACATACATGGCACCCCTCACACACGCACACATACATGGCACCCCTCACACACGCACACATACATGGCACCCCTCACACACGCACACATATGTGGCACCCCTCACACACATATATAGCACCCCTCACACACGCAGACATATATAGCACCCCTATATTATGTGTGTGAGGGGTGCTAATATATATATATATATATATATATATATATATATATATATATATATATATATATATATATATATATATATATATATATATATATATATATATATATATATATATATAATCTCACAAGGTGACCAGCACTCACGGATTCGTTAAAACATCCAAAGTTTAATACAAAATATTTAAAAAAAAAATTGTTGACAGCTCAACATTTCAGTCCTCCTCTGGGACTTTCATCAGGAACAAAGTGCATTACGGGTGCAATGTGTTTAGTGGCAACAGGTTGTGTGGGAGGTTACAGTTTGTGTGTATGGGGGGAGCAGTGTGTGTATATGGGAGAGTTATTGTGTGGTGTGGGTAGGAGGGCAAATTCATAAATATATACTTTTTACAAATTTTTTTTTTATTAAAAACAATAACTTTGGCTGGGAGTGGGGACATTTCCTGCAATCCCTGGTGGTCCAGTGGGGAAGCTCTGGTGGTCCCAGTGGTGAGAGTGAACTCTAGCAGCCTCAGGAGCTGCTAGAGTTCACTCTTGCGAGATTTGGAGTGTTGCCAAGGTAACCGTAGCAGCGCTCCGAGCTCGCGAGAGAACCCGGTGTAGCTGCACGTTAGAGCTCCCCCTGGGTTGTTTTTTTATCTCTCTCCCTCCCCAGCATTACACTGCTATCGGGCTGGAGAGGGAGATCTCTGATAATCATTTGATCATAGTACCAGGAAAATATCTGTTGTGAGACACCGTTACACCATAACCTATGCAACAGATATCACTTGTTGCTGTGCTTTGAATTTTCCTTTAATAACTCCATGATTTTAGAACTTTACAAAGAGTCACTTATTTTTATAAAAGGTTTAAAGGCAGTCTCCTAGAACTTTTGCACAGTGTCTCTGGCAATATGTAGACACATTCCACAATTACTATATATCCAGTATGAGCAACCTCTATTGCATATATATACGGAGGACTTGGCAATTTTACAATTTTTTGAAATCCAACATCTATACAATACTTATTTCTCTTTTAGTACTGCACTACAAAAGTGATTTATGTATAAAATAATTCATAGTGCTGTCTTTTAGAAACCACGTTTATTTCAACACACTATTCATTTATTCCACAGAAAAGCCAGTGTCTCCAAAGTCAACCACACTGAAGAGCCCCCCAAAAGGGTTTGACACATCTGGAATCAACAAAAGTTATTACAATGTGGTGAGTTTGTGTATTCTACCATTTTCATCTGGTTGTGGGTTTTTTATTAAATGTTTAGTACTATCGTTATTGTTCTCATTTAATATTATAAAATTAAATTTTACCCCAGTTATTTATTATTGTTATTGAGCTGTATTGGTAAAGCTGTCACTGACTTTGTCATGTTCCTTAAAGGACCACTCTAGGCACCCAGACCACTTCAGCTTAATGAAGTGGTCTGGGTGCCAGGTCCAGCTAGGGCTAACCCATTTTTTCATAAACATAGCAGTTTCAGAGAAACTGCTATGTTTATGAATGGGTTAAGCCTTCCCCTATTTCCTCTAGTGGCTGTCTCATTGACAGCCACTAGAGGCACTTGCGTGCTTCTCACTGTGATTTTCACAGTGAGAGCATGCCAGCGTCTATAGGAAAGCATTATGAATGCTTTTCTATGTGACCGGCTGAATGCGCGCGCAGCTCTTGCCGCTCGTGCGCATTCAGCCGACGGGGAGGAGAAGAGGAGGATCGGAGGAGGAGAGCTCTCCACCCAGCACTGGAAAAAGGTAAGTTTTAACCCCTTTTCCCTTTCCAGAGCCGGGCGGGAGGGGGACCCTGAGGGTGGGGGCACCCTCAGGGCACTATAGTGCCAGGAAAACGAGTATGTTTTCCTGGCACTATAGTGGTCCTTTAAAGCCTCATGGTCCTGTTATTTTTATCACGGAAATCTACGAATTGTTACTTTTAGTATTCAGGAATACAAACTAACAAACTGTGGTCTACATTTTTATTTTTTTTATTTTTTTTTAAAGTCTTACACTCAAGACCCTCCGCTGACCCTGGATAACTTCTTTGTTTAGTCTCTTTGAAGGCAATGAGAACTTGACTCTGGAAAATCAGAAATGTTTGGTATATAGTGAATTTGCCTAGAAGGTGCTGATATGCCCCCTTCAATCTTTGAGATTGTGAGAAAGGGACAAATTTGCATGCCCCTTCTCACTCTACCTCAGGGCATTACCGTTATTATACTGATACAGAACTGAGCAGCAATTTCCAGAAGAAAAGTATTTTTGATGATCTAGAAGACTGCCTACTATTTTTCCTTTGATAAATATATTGGCATTTATGTAGTTAAATCTAGTTAAGGCTTTAAAAAGCACAGCGTGATGTCCTAATTAAATGTGCTTGAGATTGTGCAAGGCTTTTCCAGGGCATTTTCACACTCACAAGAGCTCTTTGGCTGTCATCTTCATATTGTCGGCATTGGTTGGTGAGATACATGACTTCCTGTCATCCTGGTGTACTTATATTCTGCCAGGCTTCGTACCTTCCAGTGGTGGCTCAGTTGCTTTTCTCACAACTTAGTATTTTTAGGGTTTCTTTTTTGTATGTATATATGCGATTTTAAATTAATATTAATAAACTTGCATAAGTGTCTAGATTAAACCCTTTCAACAGTTGATATTGGTAGACATTGCTAACACCTAAATCTAAGAGAACAACAATTTAATGGATTACTACTTTGCAGAAATGTTGGGGGAAGTTGTAAAATAGTGTTCAGTAAACGCGTGTTTCAATAGTTTATATTATTAATGCAGGTCCAAAAAATAGAAGCACAAGTACCACATTTTGTAACTTTTAGAAACAAATATAGGAATAGAAAATGGTTGCATACTATGCACAGGGATGTATTTACCACAAGGCAAGCAAGGCATTTGCCTAGGGCGGCATTTTCGGACTGGCGCCATGGGGCCAATTTTTTTTTTTTTTTTATTACAACGATGAGCAGCCACTGGCTGCTCACTGTTTAGTAGACATTCCCCTACTTGTGGCAGAGAGAGTAGTGGCATTTGGGAGATTTAATCTCCCTTATGCCATTATGGGGTTCATACTGACCCCCACAGAGTAAGGGTGGTCATGGGGGGCTTAGGAATATTTTTACATATTACAAGGAGGAAGCTGTGCGCCGGTAGCTCCCTCGTTGTAATAAACAGAATGAAGATGAGGTCTTCGTTCATTCGTTTAAAATTTCTATTCATTCATTCGTCTTTCTGACAATTAGGGGGAACAATTAGGTAGTGGAGTCAGGAGAGGGGTTAAAAAAAAAAAAAAACACAGGATTTGGCCATGGCAGTGCCGTTTTAACCCCTTAAGGACCAAACTTCTGGAATAAAAGGGAATCGTGACATGTCTCACATGTCATGTGTCCTTAAGGGGTTAAGTAATTGGACCCCTCATGATTTTCACTTCTTAGCAGTGCAAAACTAAATAAGCACGGAGTTCATGAGGTTTGGGGAAATGGGGTTAACTTGTAATGCTTTTTAGTTCAGTAGCAGTGAATGTTTTATTTCTGAACTGTTCAGTTTTAAAAGCATGTATTGTTAGAGATCTATGTTGCCATTACTGCACAGATTTTTATGTCATAAATGGTTTAAAAAAAAAAAAAAAAAAAAGTAAAAATTATATAAATGAAGAAAAAAAAGAAAAGGAAATCTAAAAATTATGGAGTTCCAGTTCCCTTTTTCCAAATACTCATGTACAAGAGGCTTTATCTAACACACAAAAAAAAAACCCATCACACTGTTTTTTATTTTTAAGTAGGGATGCACCGAAATTTCAGCTGAAAATTGGCCTTTCCGTTTCGCCTGAAAATGGATCAAATTTGCAGAAATAATAATAAAAAAAAAAAAAATATATAGATTTTTTAAAATATTTTTTATTTTTGTAGTGCATAGTTTAAAGGACCGCTATAGGCACCCAGACCACTTTAGCTCAATGAAGTGGTCTGGGTGCCAGGTCCCTCTAGTTTTAACCCTGCAGCTGAAAACATAAGTTTCAGAGAAACTGCTATGTTTCACTGAGGGTTAATCCAGCCTCAAATTCAGATGATTTTATATATATATTTATATATATATATATATATATATATATATATATATATATATATATATATATATATATATATATATATATATATATATATATATATATATTAACCTGAAAAGTTAAGAATACTGCACTCGGTACAGGGGAGGGGGGAAAGAACAGAAGTGCATTATGGGACAGGGTAAGGGGGAAAGCGCACTATGGGGAGGGGGGGAGAGAGGAACATAAAGCCGGGGGGACACTAAAAGAGAAGGGAAATTTTTCATATTAGACTTATTAAATTCATTGAAAAGTCGAATATTAATAAAATTATAGGAATAAAACTTAATTTAAATTAATGGGGGAAAAAAGTCTTTTTGGTTTTTGGCCAAGGGCATTCTGAATTTTCGATTTTTGGCCCAGAATTTTCATTTCAATGCACCCCTATTTTTAAGCACAAACATAGGAATGAAGAAAAGAATGCCATGTAGTAGTCACAGAGAATAAAGGTTGGGTGACAAGAGCATGTCTGTTTTATTAACCTGCTTCAGAATTTTTCACTATTAGCTGTAACCAATGCACATATTCTATATGGCAATAG